AGTCTGTTCGCGCCCTTCTCTGCGCTTCTCAAAATGTTTAGCTATGCTGTGAGGACATATCCCAAATAAATTATTATTCCTTTGGTTTTCTGATACATTTAAATTCTCAAAGTCTAAGAAAATATTTTCGCGAGTGCATAGCTGGTCGGTATATGGCCTTAAATGCATTTTGGGCTAATTATGCTGAGTGAGTGAGTAAGGACAATTGTCGGACGACAAGTGCATTGGGTTAGGACGATTATTAATTGGACGACTAGACAAGGGAGCACTTTGCACTCGATTAGCGAATGGCAGATTGCGCCTGAGTGGCGTACCACTTGGGTCGTCGTCTCAGGTAGTCATAAGCACATAAAGCATCTTTTGCATAATCAAGTCACTCTGTGTGCGACCATTAAAGCGTAAAGTTTCGGGTTTCGTGCATCTTATGGCCGATTAAGCTGGCCGCAAAAAGCCCTAGAATCGGATTCACCAAAATGTTAATAATATTAATGCGCACTTGCATTTCCATATGGTTGCCCACAGAAAAAGGCACAATCGGAAAATGACTAATTAAATTAACAAACTGTGAATCAACAATTTACGACAAACGGAATCCTACAGAAAGCAACTAAACCGTAAAAAATAATTATAAATTAATATTAGTTCGTGGCAAACAAATCGTAACATTATTTAGTCAACTAAAAACGTTGCTCTATTAACTTAAAACTATCTATAAAAGCAGGATATAAATTGCGGAATAATGTGTAATAGTTCCAGGAAGGGCTGTTAATGCTGTGTATTAAGACATTAAAGTTTCACTATACGCAGTAAAAACTTCCGCAAAGTGCAGACATCACAAGTGCATCAAAAGGGTTCTCCCCAGAAAACAGCAGAGAAAAAGTTTCTTAGTACGTTCTCAAAATGAATACGGAAAAGGCAGTAAAAACCAAAAACGTAAAATACCTTTTCAAAAATGTACTGTCATTTTCAAACTGAATAGGAGCTATTATATCCTTTGTTTAAAGGCATTGTAAAATGCATTGCGTCTATCTTTTATTTGCACCTCTCTAAGCGCTTCTCATTATTTGATGGTCCACGTTTACGGAGCTCTTCTCTGCGCTTCTCAATATATTGACTTAAGCTTTTAACATAAGTTTCCATCCACTTAGTCATGAATTTCGAGAGTGCAATTCTCCTCCAAATTTTAAAAGGAAATACAAAACACTTTCCTATTGTCTTCGTATTAATTAATCCCAGCTGATTAACCAACAAATGCCGATGTGCCTCTTCCTATTTACAATCAAAGACTCTGGGGTGTTTTAGGCATATTGCGTTCCCCTTTAATGTGATTAGGCCACTAATTGGTTCAATCAAAGTGTCTTCAGAGTTAATTAAATGCTCTTCTCCGAGAGAACCTTTCAAAACAAATCCCAATAATCGTTGAAATAATTACCTATCCCTGATAACACACACATGAGAATGAGAATTAAGAGATTGTGAGATTGAGAGATTGAGTGACTGACAAAAGTTTTGCGTGCGGCTTCCAAAAGAGGCGTTGATTATTTAAGTACTTAAACGTGTTTTCGTTAATGAGCTACGAAATAATTCATAAAATACCAAAAAGACTGAGCGGAGCTCCTCTTAGTTTCTCCACTGACACCCCGAGGCACTTGAAAATATAATCCTGTGCGCAAAAATGTGCGGGTATTTACTTAATCTGTCTTCCCTGGCGGAGAATTCCCCTCCGCCGTCTGCGAATCACACAATGAAAAATGCTTTTATTTACTTTTGATTATCTGCTTATGGACAGCAAGTAACAACAAAGGCCCGGCAAAAATAACGTTGGAAAAACAGCAGACAAACAGGCGGCTGCCAGTGATGCTAAAAAAGAGCTGCAGAAAAAGCAGCTCCAAAAAAAGCATAGATTAGCAAAATGCAGTAGTTGCCATGAATTCAGTGGTAGTAAATTGTGCCAACAATAAAAGTTACTACGACAGAAAACTTTCATAAGAGTGGAATTTATTTGAGACTAATAAATAAAAATGTTACCTAAATTAAAGTACTTTGCGTTTATGAATTTTTCTATAACATTAAACTCAGCACAGAAGTTTGTGGTTTTTGTTAGTTTAAATAATGCCTTAAATAGTCTCTGATTTATTGGTATTTTAAATATTCAGTATATTAGTGATGCAAATTGTATTAAATATATTTAGTATTTTGCTGTCGTTAAAACCTGTAAGTGAATAAAAAATCTAAAATCTAAGGAAAACAGGATAGCAGCAGGTGCTTTTAAAGTAATAAAAAAAAGTAAATAATTATAGAAAGTAGGAATAACAACTAAAGCCAGTTAAATTACTTAGCTTTTGAAATATTTCCCTTAAAGCATGAGCATGAAAATGAGGCGATAAAGTGCCAACAGAAAGACGACAACAAACAAACAAACAAACAAAGAGGCTAACAAAGAGACAAACAAACGGGAAACAAACGGCTTATGGCCAGGTTTAAATATGGACCATATGGACGGCGATGCTGGCCATGGCCAACAAACGAGGGTGGCTTCCACAATTCAACTCTTCGAACTTTGCAAGCCCACCGCTTTATGGGTTTTTGCCCTTTTTGCGACTGTCAACGCTGCCTGTCGCGGTTGTAAAATCAGCGAAATGTTAGCACTCAGCCAAAAATAAACGAAAAAGTATCTAGATTGAAAACGAGAGGGTCGAGAGTGCAGATACTGAGTATTTTGGTGGGGAAACTTTTACGAGAAGGTCGAAATGGGTTGCAAAATGTTTACCAGAAATTAAACATATTTTGCTGCGGTCTCAAAAAGGTCTGATTTTGGGAAGGAAAATCGATTTTCATGATATTTTTTTTAAACTTTTCATAAAAATATATTCTATAACAAAGGCTACTTTATAGTTTTGGTCAAGCACACCGAATTGACCCTTGAACTGTGAACTTCCAGGGTACCAAAAACAAAGCCACACCTGCAACCCACACATATGCAGGCCACACACCCGCACATCTGCCATAAGCCACGTGGCACACCCACACACTCCTATCGGGCCATAATTTATGGCTAAACGGATGCAGCAAAGTAGCAAAAGCAACAGCAAAAGCAAAAGCACGGCGAAAGCAAAGGGTGCAAAGTGTTACCCTTGGCCCGCCGGCCATTTAAAGTGTAAACGCATGGCTTCGAGTGGCTTCGATCTCATCGGGATGATGAAGTGGCTGCATCTCAATGCAACAAGTCATGGGATTCGGTTACGGATACGGATACCGATACCCCGTATCCATAGCCACAAAAAGAGACAGACACATTCGGATTATTGCATTACGATCATGTGCTTGTGCGAATTTAATTGCTTTTCAATGGTCGAGGAATGAGAAATCGCAGCAGCTGGGCGGATGGCTAAGCATATTGACATGCAAAAATGCATAGCATGCATTTGGGGGCACTTGTTGGCGACCCACACTGCGTATGAGTAATGCAATTGCTTGCCACTAGGATTACTCATACGCAGTGTGGCCGCTCCATCTGTTTGTGTTCGGCAAACACACACGCACACACAAATCTGTGTGATTTCCACAAAATTACATTTTGCAGTTACAAGTGTTATAAATAAATTTTACGTTTCGAAATGTTTGTCAGTGCGGTCAGAGTCGGCCTTTTTTCCCATTTTCCCATTTTCGTTTTCATTTCCCCCCGAAAATATTTGTTTGTGTGACTTTTGTGTAGCTGTTAAGTGGCAAAGCACACACCCACACACACACGCAGTTAACTGCATTTAAATTGCAATTTTCGCAAAGCAAACCAAACATTTTGGACGACATATCATTGGATTTATCTGAGCTATATGTATGTGCACTCTGTGCATGTGCCAATTGTAATATATATGCCTCCATATCCATTCGCATTTGACAACTTGATAGTGGCATACATATATGTTTAATATGAAATTCCCTAAATTGCTTCTGTTATCACTGACGATTTAGCATTTGTTCGCTTGCCAATTTTCGGCATGGAAACTATTTCGAAAATCTCTGATTAAATAGAGAGGAGAGCTTCGAGTGAAATTCATTGGTTATTAAGTTACAATTAACAAGAAACAGTTCTGGAATTTGTCCAGCCTAGAAATTGTTTATTATTAAAGTAGGCAACAAGATTTCGATTTGTTTGTGCAAGGTAATGGGATAGTTCTATGAACCGAATTGTGAGTCTATTATTTATTAAAACAATAAACAAATACGGATTGTTCTGAAACCAAAGGGCCTGGTATATTTTAGTGTTCCCAAAATGTAATTAGGCCTACAAATACTGTTGTGATTTCTTTTTTTAAACTTGATTATAATGAGAAAGACCTTTATCTGCAAGATACTTGATTGTTGGACGACGTATACACTTTTTTTATTGATTAGGAATTTTATTAGACTTATTTTTACTTATTAATCTAAAGTTAACAATTAGTGTTATGATTATTTTGATACTTCAAATGGCAATCGTTTTTATTATTTTGAGCTAATTAATAATTGAACTACAAATAATTGGCCGCATATAACTTTTGGCATTTTATATTTTTCAGCAACCTTCACTAGTTTTGTCGATCACACACAATAATAACTATATTTTCACGCTACTTAAGAACACAAAGTGCTCGATTCAATTACGCATTCTGCACAGACTTTCGTGCTGATTTCCCCACACACTTATTGCAAAGTTTTGCAAACCAATCCAATCAAATTAAATATACTTGCGGCTAAAAGCTTGAAATTGGAGCGGCCAAAACCCTCAATTGTTTTGTGACCACTTAGAGCACTCAAATTGCTTTCTGGCTGCAAACGTCTCTGTGGAGAGTGGCAGGCTAATTTCCATTTTGTGAGTGGAGCGACAGGAAGCGAAAGTGATTGAGTCGTTGTCTGGCGATTTTTAGTGGTCAGTTGGGAAAGTCCAACCCCCCCCCCCCCCACACACACACACACAAAAAAGGAAAGAAAAAAACTTACTTAAAAACCCAAACACTCACCATTCACATAGGCGGCGAAATCAAAGTCCTTCTCTGGTCGCGCTCCGCCATCATCTTCGATGTCCGGCTGCCGCCGCTGCTGCAGATCCTTTCCCGCTTTCGGTGCGGAAATGGCGTCATTTCCGGCTGCCAGGGCCACCGAGAGACCCAAAAGCAGTGCCACCAGCGACATTGTCTTGGAGCATTTGCGGTATCGGCGGCTCGGGGCCGCCATGCCGCCCACTAATTGCACGCACACGGAAGCGGAAATGACACGCGGCTCGCCGGGGTATTGCAACTGTACAGGACTCAGGCTTGGATGTGGGTTCTCCTCCCCACAACGCCAAAGATTCCAAAGAATACACTGCCAAAAAAAAAACCACACACAGTCGAACCGGCTCTGTGTCTCAGTTCCTTAAAACGCTATTACGCGTAGTACTACGATTCGCAAGCCGGCCACGAAGGATTCTCGGTTTGCGACGCTCACGCGAATTCTTCAGGAGCCGCTGAGAGGACCTGCTGCCTGGCCAACGTGCGAGGCGCAATTGAGCCAACAAACGCCCGGCCATACACTCATATAGCCTTGTCAGTCGCCAGTTGCCAACTTGCAACATGCCGCACACGCCGCACGCCAGGAGCCGAACTTCTGTTTTGGTGAATGGACTCGGAATCGGCGAAATCCGAGTCGCATTACGAGTCCTCCTGTCCCATCGCCCGACGCCTGCGCCCTTTCGAGAATCTCGAAAACAGAAATCTGAAAATGGGGGAAGGGTTTCGGCAGAGCCAGAAGTCAGTTGCAGTTCATTTGCTTGGCTACGTGACGCGAGTGTTTTGGTTTTTCGGGGTTGAGGAGGCTATGTAGGAGGTTCAGAATGGGCACTGGGATAGGGACTTCCCGGTGAAACGGAACGGGATAATGGATAATGGGTAATGGTCGATGGGCAGTGGGCCTTGGGCATTGGGCAATGGCAAATCGAAGGAATCCCAGGAATCCAAAATCGTTTTTATTGTTTCTCCACAACTGTTGCTCTGCGAAGATCAAATGGTGTTGCTGTTGTTCCATACAACACGTTGACTTTATAGATTGCTGTTTGATTGTTGCAACTCAAATTTAGTTGAGTCACAAGTTGTTGAGGAACTAGTTAGCTAGTTTTGGGATTAGTTGGGTAATAAAGTTTTTACACATGGTAGAATTTTAGGGAGGGATACTTAAGTTTCATTTGAATCGGATTGTGGCATTTCTTTAAATAATAATAAAAACAATTGACCAATACGTATGATTGTGTAACTATACAAAATAGTTTGCTAACATTAAAAATAGTAGAACGCATTCTCTATAAAAGTAGTAACATGTGTATTTTGTTGTTGTGACAATAACTATTTAATTGCTTAAATTGACAATTGCCTGGGTTGGTTCCATTTAATTATTAAATTGGTAACATTGATATGGAACTATTCGATATTTGCAACCAACATTTGTTAGTTTTTGGTCTAGTTTCTTAAGGTAGTTCTTGATTATTTCTTTTTCAAATAATTATAACTCTAATTTATTGCATATTTATCTTATAATTGCAGATAATTTTGCCTGCCATAACAGTTTTGAGAGCATTTCAAGCTGTAACTTGACTACAGCCGCTGCACTTGTCGCCGCTGGCGTGTTTGTTGCTAGTCGCTTGTTGCAAGTTGCTGGTCGCAGCGGCAACTGTTGCAGCTGTGACCTGTGGCCTGTGGCCCCGCGGATCAAGAGCAGTTAGCCATTATTGTAACTGCTGCTGCCGTCGTTTGGCCCCCGATTACGGACACTGATGTTGCTGCTGGGCTTAACTGTTGCTGTCGGTTCCTGTGCGTCGATTTGCATCGCAATTGCAATTGCAATTTCGCAATTTGCCATTCGCCATTCGCATTCGCCATTTGCCACACCCAACTCATCCCCGCCTTTTCTTTCCCTCTTAATTAAAACATTTTGCAGTTGATTTGCGCGGCTGTGTGGTAATTTGATTAGCGCTCGCCCCTTCCGGGAGTTGCAACTGCGACTGCAACTGTATCTGCATCTGTATCTGCGTTAACGACTCATCGAGGACCCGCAAATATCCCTGAATATCTGAAACGGAATGGAGGCTCAAAAAATAAATTCAGACATTTTCCAGCCTGGCAGAGCAGGCAGCATTACTACAGAATGGCAGCGAGCATATAGAGATACAAAGGTAGAGCCTCCCGACGATGGGATATTGATAACCAACAGCAATTTGCAGCTGCAAATAATCAAATCACTCTGTGGAAACTGTTCACTGAAAAGCGGTAGCATTAAATATTTGTAAACCTGCTGAGCTACCGGGTATCGGGTTTGTTTTATTCGGAAAATGCATTACTCGATTGCGAGAACATGAAACTATAATGATATGTGAGCGAAAGAGACACTTTTCGGGAAACTCGTTTTGGCAAAAATGCCCTTCTTTTGTCGCCGTTTTTCAGTCGTAATTTAGTCAAACCAAGTGGCACAGCTAAAAAAATGACTGTTTCGAGCAGCTAGCAACCTAAGCAACCGATCCCTATCATTTTTTGGAAAATTTTTTTTAACGAACTTTTGCATTTTTTATAAGGGGTTACATCACCTTTTTTTTTTTTGAAAATTGATCAAAAATTAAAGTTTCCAGTTTTGAATGTCAATCGATTGGGAAATTAATTATGAGCTCAACGAGGTATGGCATTCCAAATTCCGACCGTATTTCGCAAAATTATTGCTAAAATACTTCGTTGTTTTGGTCCGAAAAATAGGTGGTTGGATTTTAGACAAAATTGCTTCTATTTTTTTTTTTGCGGTTTTTCTATAGTAACTTGGCCAAAACGAGGCGCACAGCTGAAGGACCGACTGTCTTGAGCAGCTAACAACTTAGGCAACCGATCCCCATCACTTTTTGGGAAATTTATTTTTTAACGAATTTTTGCATTTTTTTTAAAGGTTCTTTTTTTTGCGAAAATTAGTCAAAACTTAAAATTCACAGGTTTGAATGCCAATCGATGGTCAAATTTCTAATTTCCTAATTTAGGACACCAGGCGAACATAATCGCTTAGCAGGTGTAGAAACGATCAGCTGATTAGCTTATTCCAAGCTTACTTAGAGATGCCCTAGTGATTTCTTCCTTTTGCCACGGCCTAAGCAAATACATAGGACTTAACTGTTACTTCGTGCATATCGTGACAAGCTCGTTACGAGATCGCGACAAGCCCGTGACATGCTCCTGACACGGTCATGGTTGCTCATCTCTGGTCTGCGTTTTGCTCACAGCTAACTGTTCCTTCCCATGGAGATCAATTCCTATTAGTCAGTGGGGGAAGGGGAAATATGTAAAGGGCCGCCATCTTGAAAATAATCAGCTGTTTAAGTTCACTTTTGGCTACCAGCTGCCACTTGCTAAGTTTTCTGTTTGCCTGGTGTCTGAGAGCCAAAAATCCAGCACTTTGACTGAAAAAATGTTACGTAGCTCTTCAATATGTTTAAGTAAATTAGCGATTTTTCAATTTCAAACACCAGGTGAACAGGAAAATTCGTAGGTGACCAACGATTAGTTTTTAAGGCTTGACTAGAGGTGTGCCACTTCAAAAAATCGAAGGCCTTTTGTTGCCGACCAAGCGATTGCGCACCTCTAGTCTCCTTATACTAAACTAACGGTGTCCTTCCATTAAAAAAATGTTAGCGCCCAGCAGCCACCTACTACAGATTATGTTGGCCTGGTGTCAAAGATCAAGAAATTAAATTTCAGACCTCATTGAAATGTCAATTTATAGAAATCATAAAACCAAAATACCTCATTTGCTCGTCGAGAAATTGGTCAAATTGCTTGGTTTCTTAATTTCAGACACCAGGCGAACATAAACGTTTAGTAGGTGTAAAACGATCAGCTGATTAGCTTATTCCAAGCTTACTTAGAGATGCCCTAGTGATTTCTTGATTTTGGCACGGCCTAAGCAAATACATAGGACTTAACTGTTACTTCGCGACAGGCTCGTGACAAGCTCGTGATAAGCTGGTGACACGGCCATGGTTGCTCATCTCTGGTCTGCGTTTGGCTCGCAACTAACGGTTCTTTCCCATGGAGATCAATTCCTATTGGTCAGTGGGTGGAGGGGAAATATGTAAAGGGCCGCCATCTTGAAAATAAACAGCTGTTTAAGTTCACTTTTGGCTACCAACTGTCACTTGCTATGATTTCTGTTTGCCTGGTGTCTGACTGAAAAAATGTTACGAAGCCCTTCATTTTTTTGACGAAAAAAAGTTTCTTTTAAGCCGTTTTTCAGTCGTAATTTAGTCAAATCTAGGCGCACAACAAAAAGACCGCCTGTTATGAACAGCTAACAACCAAGGCTATCGATCCCTATTACTTTTCGAGAAATTTATTTTTTGACGAATTTTCGCATTTTTTGTTGTATCATCTTTTTTTGCGAAAATTGATCAAAAATAAAAATTTTCAGATTTAAATGCCAATCGATTGGGAATTTAATTAGGAGCTCAACGAGGTATGACATTCCTTAATCTGACTTCATTTCGCAATTTGACGACCAAAATACTGATTTTTTGGTGCAAAAATAGGGAGTAATATTTTTTGACGAAAAATACGTTATTTTTAAGCCGTTTTTAGGCTGTTATTTGGTCAAATCGAGGCGCACAACAAAAAGTCCGACTGTTTTGAGCAGCTTACAATCTAGGCTAACGATCCTTATTACTTTTAGGGAAATTTATTTTTTGACCAATTTTCGCATTTTTTATAAGGGGTTACATCATCCATTTTTGCGAAAATCGGTCAAAAATTAAAGGTTTTAGATTTAAATGCCAATCGATTGGGAATTTAATTAGGAGCTCAACGAGGTATGACATTCCTTAATCTGACTTCATTTCGCAATTTGACGACCAAAATACTGATTTTTTGGTGCAAAAATAGGGAGTAATATTTTTTGACGAAAAATACGTTATTTTTAAGCCGTTTTTAGGCTGTTATTTGGTCAAATCGAGGCGCACAACAAAAAGTCCGACTGTTTTGAGCAGCTTACAATCTAGGCTAACGATCCTTATTACTTTTAGGGAAATTTATTTTTTGACCAATTTTCGCATTTTTTATAAGGGGTTACATCATCCATTTTTGCGAAAATCGGTCAAAAATTAAAGGTTTTAGATTTAAATGCCAATCGATTGGGAATTTAATTACGAGCTCAACGAGGTATGACATTCCTTATTCTGTCTCCATTTCGCAATTTGTCGACTAAAAAACCGATTATTTTTGGGCAAAAATCGGCGTGTTTCAGTCGTAACTCAGTCAAATCGAGGCGCACAACAAAAAGACCGACTGTTTTGAGCAGCTAATGATTTCCATAAAACCAAAGTAAAAACCTTTTGTCTTGAAAAAAAAATATTTTATTGAAATTAACATAGTTTTTCAGATGCTTACATTAGATATTTGAGGCAGGCGTAAAAACAGCAGCACAGCCAGCAGCATGCTAATCTAATTAAAATTGTAATCTTATTGGGACGGACTGCCGTTGGCAGCTCATTTTCATTGTTTTCCCATTACATATTATTATTATTATTTGTATTGCTATGACTATCATTGTTATTACGACAGCAGCAGCAATAAACTCGTGCGTGGACAAGGCGGCGTATACTTGATGTGATTGAGGCGCAGTTATCACATCATAATGCACTTGGCCATAATGCTCTTACGGCCATAATTGTTGTTGCGGCACTCTGGCCCGACTAATTGTCGAGTTGTGCCTTTTGTTCACGGCCCCGCAGTTCTGGCCAGTCAATCCCAATGCGGCCTCCAGTTTCTGGCCCAGTCGAAGGTTGCAGTGCAGGCTGGGCTCCAAATCGCACATCCCACGGGGCGCTAATTGAATTCGCTGCCACCGCTGGCCAATTGCAGTCCAAAAATTGAACAAAGCCCCCGCAAAGCACCGAAATAGGCAGAAACCTCGAAAACAAAAAGCGCAACTGAGAGCCAAACAAGTGCAGACGAATTAAAGTCAAGGATACCCTTCTGAAGGGCAAAAAACATTGTAAATAATTTAATATAATTTTAATTTGGTTTGGAAAAATGCGTAAAAGTATGCAATAATAATTTTAGAAATCAGAAGTCGACGGTTTTTTTTATACTGCCTACTTTTAGACACATTTTTGGGAGATTCTAAGCCCTGCAGATAAAAATTCTAAAACAATTGAATATATCTTTTAAGCCAACATCTATGGTATAACTAAGTTACTGTTTTGTCGAAAATAAAAATAAGAATTGCATACTTTAAGACGCCTTTCTAAGAGATTATATATTGATGGAGAGATCTAATAAAATTACATTTAACCATTTATAGGTCTTTTAAAATATGCTGAACCTTTGTTGCTTTATCAAAAATAAACTTGATATGGGTTCAACTCTAAGGCCATAAAAACATGATAAAAAAAACCGGATACTCTCCGTTTTTGCAGGGTATCAATAACGAGCAGCATCAACAACAATCCGCTCTGGGTGGCAGGATGTGCGAGCCGTAGTGATGATGAGGCAATTTGTTTAGGCCAGTTATGCATCATTTGGGCGGGGGGTTGATGGGCATGGGCGTTGGCGGGGGATCGGGTATTGGAGATTGAAAACGAAGGATGAAGGACGACGGACGACGGACCATGGGCTTAGGTAGGCAATTCGATTTGACGGCGCACAATTTCCGGCCACGCTCGGCTCTGTTACTCATTACAAGCGAATAAGCCCCGAGGAGTCCTTGTGGTCAGAGGCGTGCCGCCCACTCAGCTTTATTCACACACGGAAAACTTTCACAATTAGCGGCCGGATTCCGGCTGCGATCCTGCAGGATATTTCCGGACTACAGCCGGCAGCAGCAGCAGCCGGCAGGATAATGTGCGCCCAGGAAGATCTCGCAGGCGGAGCAGTAATGATTCGTCGTCCGGCAGCCGTTCCATAAATACGGACACAAGCAGGCGCAGCAGCACCAGCTGAAAAGGGATAAAAAGATAGTTAAACTGGGCAGTTAGGTAGATACTTTAAAGAATTTAAATTGGTTGTGGATTTATTGCGAGTTTTTAATACATACATATATAAAGAATTGAATTTGGTTTGAGTATGAGTCTTCAAAGGTTCATAAAAATATTTAAAACATTTGTCAGTCACATTAAATGTTTTAGTATTATATAATACATATGGACATGTTATTATCACAATAGATAGAATAGGTTATTCTCTGTTCACTAGGAAGTACGTTAATAAGTTAGCTCAGGAGCAATCATTTCTAAACAACTTTAAGTACTTTACTCACCCAAAAGCGCACAGCCAGAGGGCCCAAATGTGGGTGGTGGCATTGGACGATCTCTTCAAGCGCGTGAATCCCCGTTGACCACAAGCTGGACACACTATCTCCATCGCCTGTTTACCCAATTTGGGTTGGGGGGTCAAGATGAAAAATCTGCTAAATATAAACATTAATATAAAACATTATAATACATTAACTTAAAAACCCCGCTTACCTCGCACAGGAGGCGATGGCAATCCCTCCTGCATCGGCGGACCATCCCCCTCCGCATCCTCCACGTGGGGCATCTCCTCCAGGCCATTCCTCAGATGTTGTGGCTCCGCAAAGAAGGTTCTCCGGCGATCGGCGGAGTAGCCAAAGTTGGCCAAACCGGATGGCGCTGCATCGTTCATGGCATCGTCGTAGGTGGGCGGTTCCGAGGGCGACAAGGACATGGGTCGCTGCTTCTGGGGATCCTCCTGACTGGCATCCTGACCCTGGTACAACATGCGGTGCTTCTCCTCGGCCATGGCAAACCCTTCTAACTGGCTAATTTGGCCCTTCGGTGGCTTTTATTTTCCGAAAGGCAGGCCTTTAAAGCCCGGCGAAAAACAGTTGTTGATAAGCAAACATTCCGGGCCAATTAAGCAACTGCCAACCATGTCGGCCAGTCACCAATAGAAAGCTGGAACGGAAAGGTCCAGTCACCATCGTCGTCGTCGTTGGAGAATATTGTCAGCTTCCGTTTCATTTCCTGTTCATAACTTTTTCAATATGTGCAGCTGACCGTTTGCACTGTGGAAAACCCAAAGTATTACATTTTCTTAGCATACCTACATTTTAACTTATAAATAATATGTACTAAGCTAAAAAATATATTAAGTCCGTTTATCAGTCTTTTTTCTTTATAAAAATTAAAATATAATTTCATATTGGAATTTAAATATTTTCTTTTTTTGAAGCTCTCCTGTGTTTTCAAAGTTTACCTAACTTTATTAATTTTTATAAATAAGTTGAATTGCCACTTTATTCCATTATAAACCCAAATATTATTTTCCACACACCAAGTTATGAGTAAGCCCTAAAATCTCCTAGTGTTGTTCCTTCACCCCTTCACTTTCCTTCACTGTGTTTGTGTTTGCGGAACCCCCAGTTTGTTTTTTGTTTTCCTTCAAGTTTTTTAATATTTTCCAACGTGGGCTGTGGGGTAGCGGGAAAATGGGAATGAAATTCCGTTTGCCACTTTGCATTTAATCAACTTTATCGCATGCATGTAAATCGTATGCAGGCGCAAATAAACTAAACAGGCAGAGGTGAAATTATAATGAAAAATCTCATTTGCATGTGGATAGCTGACATCTCTCGATTAAGTGAAATTCACCTTGAAAAATGCTGGGTGAATATAGTACGATATGATAAATATATACATATGATTTTGACATATTTCCTATGGATTTTATTATTATTTTTATATTTGCTTAACATATTTTGTAGACCTTTCTATTGTTCTTCCTAGCATACCACGATTTTTCCTCCAATTGCTAATGTTTAAGTAACATTTCCTTTAAAGTCCCGCCAAATCTTTGTTATTTAAATTCCTTATTTAATACAAAAATGATTTTGAGCTCTCTAAATTGTATTTTTTAGTTTCCAGGGTGTACGGGCCTTTGATTTGTTCACTCCTGTTGTTCCGCCATCTGCCATTGAAATGGGGATCGGGTTTTGGGATCGGGCGCTGAGAGCTGTCGCTGCATAAATTTGCAGTCCATTTCAAGTTGGCTCATCGCTTTGATGTTTGATTTATTGCACACTGGCGGCGGGTTTTAGGCAAAAAGGGGTCGAGGGGTTGAGGGGTTAAGGGGCAAAGGGGTTTAGGGGCAAAGGGGTTAAGGGGCGGAGTGCCATGGAGAGGGCTTATCGGCCGACATGCCAGACAATTGTGAATGGCAACTGCAATTGGAATTGACAGTGGCGGCATGGCGGACGTTTGAGGGGGGGTCGAGTGGGCATCAGGTGCTGACTGGGATAAGCAAATAAATGGATGAGACGGGCCAACAATCCCGTGATGGGTTCGCATTCCATTATGGATTCTGCCCTTGTTGTCCTTTTTGCCTATTTATGTATTTATGCATTCTGAAGGTCAGTCAAGGGTGCAAAAAATGGGTTAAGGTTTAAGGCAGCTCAGTTCCTTTAAACAAATATTCCTCCTATTTTGTACTATTTATCGAAGTATTTTAAGAATTTTTGTTCAGCTTTAAATATAGTTAATTATTAAGTTACCATTATAAACCATTTCTAAATTGTATACTAATTACAAAACATTTTTTTAATTTTAAATAGAAAATACAGTATACTATATCATTAGTAAAACTGGGATTGGGACTTCGTATTCATTCAACTGATTAAACGGTTGGCTTTTTCTTTAAGGAAATATAAATGCATATAGCCATCTCCCTCCGACACTCCACTCGCCCCGTCTCTTTCGCACTGATTGCGTCTTTGGCTGGAAATGTGTGCAAATAATATTTCGTGTAATTGCAATTAGCGCCAAAAAGGTTTTCACCGCTCACAGCTGCTGACTGGTAGAGCAGTAGTCATGTCTCCTCTTCCCCGCCCCGCTTTCACCTCCTTTCACCACCCTTTCGCCACGCCCCCATATCATCCGCCTCTTTCACTTTTTTATATATCTCTATTTGTTGTTTGCCTTTGCGAGGAAATGCGTTCGTGCGAATTGCGATTTCTTCGATGCTTCAATTACACATGTATATGCACGTACACCTGGAGATATTACTAGTTTTTACTAGATTTGGATTTTTAAAAATGATATCCTAAATATGTTCTTAGGTAAGCTATATAGCCCTAAAAAATGTTACTTAATGGTTGTAATGGTGTAGTTTTTATGAGAATATGTTATAGTGGTATATCAAATATGTTAATAGTTTTTTCGTTATTTAAAATACAAACTATTCCTAAATATCCTCAGAAACTGATATTTGTCACAAAACTTTTTTTATGGAAAATTACTAGTCACATTTATTGGGAAGAAAATAAGCCGCTGAACAAACTGACGTACACCATACACCTATTTTTCTCCCCGTGTACACATACACCATGTACCTAGGCGCCAGGAAATCAATGTTTAAAGGGGAACCTGAAACTGCTGCTGACGCCTTTTTCCCACACCCTACGGCTGGCTTGTTAATTTGCCAAAAAAGAAAGAAAAAGAAAAGATATTGAAGGTGCCAGATCCACAAAACTCTATCCTCAACCGACCATTTCTTCACCCCAAAAGAAAGCAGGCACTAAAGCGACTAAATAAAGGCAAGAAAAACAAAGAGGGAAAACAAACGAAAAAGTCGAGTAAATGTTCTTTGGGTTCTCGTGTAAAATAGTTAAAGTTATGACCCAAAATGGAGCCAAAGAGCAAAATCAACTCGCACACTCAGGCACTTCAAGTGCAACAGTGTGCGTGAGTGTGTGTGTGTGGGGGGGAGGGGGTTTTGGAGCGCGAGTAATTCACATTTCGAGCACGTTTCGCTTTTATGCTCTCAAATGGCGAGTGTATCTGTGCAGGACCTCCATTTCCCCACATGTGTGTTTGTGTGCTGTCTGTGGCAAAACGATAATTTTGTTGATGATGCCATGATTATAAGTTTTAGCCTCATCGCCAGAGCTCTCAACTCGCCGAGGGGCAACAATGCCGGCTAGAAAACACCGAAGAAAGCCAGCATTCCGGGCTAGTGACTGCCGGAAAATACCCGTTGCATACCAATAAATATTGATCGATTTGTAAGGATTTCGTAATGAAGTAAAGCCAATTATTTTTGGTTACCTTTGAGATGATCAGTAGAAAGGTGACCCAAACCATGATTTCAAGATCTTTTAACTTGATTAATAGATTTTCGATTATTAGGTAGCTTGCCTTTAAAGGTGTAGTTTTATTTTCAGTTTTGGACCTGGACTTCTATAGCTTATAAGCTAATCATTAGTGTTTCGATTTATTTTTGACGTAGCTGACAAAATACTGACAATGGGCATTACCTTGTGACCCTAACCCGAACTTCTAGTATCCATAAAATAGACCAATCGTAGTCTGTTTTCTTCGTGGCGTAGCTCTAACAGTGTGTGGATTAAAATACTAATAATATACACTGAAATCTTTATTAAAACTGGTAAGAGTCCGAGGTACTACGTTTTCTTGCAGGGTATCGCCTTGCGACCGGGTTCAAGTGGCGTGTCTGCCAGCCGCGTATCTGTGCCACATGTATCCGTATCTGTATCTATTCCTAAGTAAATTACACACACACCAGAAGGACTACGGATGCGGACCACACATTCACATCCCGTGCGCGTGAATGACCCACATAAATAGCCGCGTGCCTCGACTCCAGCCGGCTCTTTATTGGCACGTACCAAACAAAGCACCGAAAAAGTAAGACGAAAATCGGAAAAAGGGGGTAAAACCATTCAACAGTTTCACAGACACATTTTTCATTATGGAACCTGAATTGAATTTCGACTTTGCCGCCGCAGGACTAAGCGTCGTATGTGGAACGGAATTCGGCCCCAAATCGATTGACATGGCCCAAAAGACCTTGTGATCTGGTCAATATTTCATGGGACGCCCTCAAAATGAAGTGACATCTGGACAGGACGAACAACTGGAGATATGCATCATTAGCAGGGCCATGCGTATACGTAATTTCTTGCCCCCCCCCCCAAAATATTTGTCTAATAAATTGTGTATTTATTGCTTGGGCTTGTAAGTAGCCATAAATTTGGCCAACATGACATGGCCAAGTTTTCTCCGTCCTGCCATTGATTTATTATGATTTTTTGTTGTATCTGTATCTGGCACTGCCTCTGCAATGCCGAATCTTCGATTTGATGGTTGTCTATGCAAAAACTGAACTGTTGCAGTTGCATGTTGCATTTTGCCGGCGGGGATATGGATGCTGCATGTTGCTGCGGGGACTGGCGGCATGTTGCTGCTGTCGACACATTAACTGTTTGCTCGCCAGATTTGGCCAGACAATGTGAAAATGTTTACACTGCACTTGCCCGTCAGCTGGTTGGGTTCAGTTTTGTTATTACTGCTGCTTTTACTTGGCCTGTTTAACCCCTTGTTGACCCCACACCCCACATCCACCAAAGCCATGGGTATTGCACTTTTTGGCCCCCGCTGTTTTGCCCAGCTTGAAGTTAAATGTCTGCAAAATCAAGACATCATCATCAGCAAATAACTTGCTGTAGTAAAATGTAGTAAAAATTGAAACCACACCACCAAACTGTTTTAAAGTTAAAAGTTTACAAAAAAAATGGTTTAAGTTTCCTAGAATTTCTCTTTTTAAAGGTATTTAATCTAGAAGCGATCATAGATTATGATATTTGCTTTTGCAATGAATAATAAATATTGTTTAATATTTAAAATGATACTTTTTACTCACAATTTGTTGGCTCATGTTGTTCCACATTTGATAACATTTTCTGCTGCTTCATTTTTTCCGGGTCTGTTTAGAATATTTCGAAAGGGCTTCGAACTTGACAAGTTTTTCCTTCGGTTTTTTCCCCATCAAGTTTTCCTTGAGATGCGCTGTTGCATGAGTGTGCGTGACGGAGTCTTTATGGGTGTGCGTGTGTGTGTTTACTTGGCGGAGTCAAGAATCGCTAATGTTGTTTTTGTTGATTCTGCTCTCGAATCCATCGTCGTAATGCCCCCGGTATTTATTATTATTTTTGCCGGCACTTATGGCATTAGGCTGCCAAATTATTTGGAAACCCTGCAAAGAGCTTTCCCCGGGATATTCAATTCGAAGTACGCCGTCTGTTGGATTTGTTTCGCTACTATATTTTATGCTGCCTTCGATATACAATATTTGAAATATTTGCTTAAAACGTAATGCTTAAAAATGGATGGAATGATGTAACATAGTTGTGGATCTGGGCGATAATAAGGTCTAAATAGTTTAAGACTAAATAATTAAACAATAATAGAAGCAATGAGAAAAAACCACGAGTAAGAGGATAAAATCTATAATGAAAACGTAATCATTTAGGCATTATATATCATATGTCTATATTATTTTAGTTTATGTGTAGATCAGTCTGTGTGCAAGCACTGCTAAACGAAAATCTCTAAAAAAAAATATTGTTCAATATAAATAATGGGTATATATAGGTATCCAAAAAAATAAAATAATATATCGTGTGCTGAGTTGAGTTGGGTTTTCGAGTTCGGGTTTCGGGTTTCGAGTTTCAGGCCAGGCAGAAGAGCTTCCTCCAGAAGGAGGGCGTGGGCGGCAGGGTGGTGGGCACGAGGCCCTCCCAAATGGCTGTGTCGAACACATCCTTGACTTTGTCCTGCGAACGAAATAATACGGTTATTAATCACAGCCTAATTAAATCAATAGAGCCCCCACAAAGAGTCTGCCGCACTAATTACTAACCATTGTACTGCTGATATGTGCCGAATTAAATATTTTACCCATAATTAACAAGCTGTTTGTGCATTAATTCGGTTGTCGTTAAGCTCACAAGTATTTTTAGTCCCTGTTTTTGTGACATACTTGGTTGCTAATTATTGTTTTAATACAGTTTAAAAGGGGCTTTTTGCTATGGTTATTATTTAATTGCAAACACTATATTTTTATAACAAAATTAAGTCGAAGATCAACAGGTAAATTTAATATTCTAATGTATTAGAAAATATTTAAATATTTTGTGGCATGACAAATACTTGTTTTTGAGTTGTTTCTTGTCTGTTTCTGAGCTCCTAAAAATCAGAGTTGGCACACTTCCCTCACGCTTTTCCCCAAACATTTTATATAGCTTTTCCCACCGGCGGCAATACAACTTAATGGCTGTGCTATATATGTATACTATATACGGCGGGTGTCTTATTTTCCAGCAACTAGCGAAGCACTTGCTCAACAAATTGTCACCATCACCATCACCGTCGACATCCACATCATCATCATCGTCGTCCCCATCATGGCCATCATTATTATTATCGTCATCCTCATCTGGTTGGTGTGCCAAGTGCTTTATAATTTGTTGCAATCGCTTCATCTTCGTTGTCGCCTCCTTTTGTGGACCCCCGGAAAAGGGGGCGTGGCAGGAGCGGTTACCTTCGGGGAAATCCACGCAGAGTGCAATGCACGGCTGACAGGAGCGACGGCATTCAGTCGGAAGTGTTGGGGCAAACAGGAGGGGATTCCCCGGCCATTCCCTCTTAACCGCACAATTATGATTATTGTACGTGTGCGAGTGTGTGTGGGTGTGTGAGTGTCCTGGTGCAATGTGGCAAGGCGACTCAAAAGGATAAAAAGCAACGAGGACCACAGCGACGAGATTTCTGCCTCCCGCAGGAGGACGCCTCCTTTCGACCGCGGAATTTAGCCAGGCGTCTTCTTTTTATTTTTCCAGCAGGCTTCTTTCGCCGGATTATCCTGTATGCTCGCTGGGCTAGGCTCCTTGATAAGTTTACATTTCATTTAAGTCCTTAGATTTATTTAAGTATAAGTTACTGCTCACTATGCAAATTCAGAATATACTATATACTATAATATCCTTACAAATGTGCATTATTTAATTTAAATTGTAGTCCTTAGATTCACTTAAATAAATTTAAATTCAGAAAATACGATGACCTTCTTTTAAGTCAATTTTTTCAGAGTTATCCCTTACAATTTGATTGAATCAACCAAATATAATCAACTATTTTTTATTAAAGACATATAACGAATTTTATAGCAGATTTTGCTTAGCATATCATATGGTTCCTAGAGGGTATATTCTCCCCAAGTGAGCATTATATTTTCTCCAAGTTTTTTACACGACACAGCCCAGAGCAATGACTTGTCTGCCTCTTGGCTTCAATTAATTTAAGGTACTTCCTCTCCACCCCCATTTGTATTTTCCCCTAACTAACAGTGGCCTAACTAACTAAATAAACCAACTCACCTGTGTGGCTGACGAAGTCTCAATGTATTTTGCGCCAATTGTTGTTGCCAAATCCCAGGCGTCTGCATATGAAATTGCTTTCTCGCCATTTGTCTGCAAAAGCGGGAAGCGGAAAAAGAAATCAAGTTAGCTTCGGGGGTCAGATGAGATGAAATCAAAATAATAAGAATTTCATAAATATTTGAATCGAGGCAACAGAAGGCATTAATAAACCAGGCCCAGAGAACTCCGGGAACTCCTGGAACTCGACTCGACTCACCTGCAGTTTGTTGAGGACATTCGGGCTGGTGCGAAGATCGGCCTGGGTGCCAACCAAAATCAGGGCGGCCTTGGTCTTGGCGAACTTGGGCGCCCACTTGGCCTTGATGGCCCGAAACGTTTCCGGCTTCACCACCGAGAAGCAGAGCAGGAAGACGTCGCTGTCCGGGTAGCAGAGCTCCCTCAGCGGGTCCAGGGTGTCCTGGCCGGCGGTATCACATATGGTCAGGTGCACCGGACTCTCGTTCACATTCACATCGGCTGCGAAAATAAATAAAATCGAAAATATTGGGTTTAAGATCCAGTAGTAAGTATAATGGAAAATTAAGAGATATAATATAATTATTAATATAATTAATAAAAATATAATGCGTTTTTCAAAAACACTTCCCAAACATCAGTTTCAATTGACTGGATTTTCAACTAGTGTAAAACGAATTCAACACTATTTGCCAAGATCATCAGCATTGACTTCAATGGCATCCCATTTTCTATGGTTTTCCCACCTTTTTATTCGCAAATGAATCAATCAATTGATTTGTGTGAGCCCACTTTGGCCTGATTTCGGTACAATTTAATTGCAAAATATGCAAATTACACTCACTCTGAGGAGCCCTTTTCTGATTCGCACTTTGTGATTGCATTTTCCTGTCGGAATTTAATTTAATTTAAAATTCTTTGCCAGTCCTTTTGTTGTCTCCTCCACGCAAGTGCAAATTTTTGGAATAGCACATGGTACACTCGAACACCCACCAATACACATACACATTCTACAATAGTGGACACTCACACAGATACATCACAGGTGGCACTTTGACCCACACAGATGCGGAAAAAACCAACACACAGACAAGCGGTAAAATTGGAGATGCCTGAAATTTCGCAAATCATTCGAGTCTCTATTTTTATTTCCTAGCTGCAAGTAAGCTGTAATCTTGGTTATAAATAAAGCTCTAACTGAATTAAGTCCCCAGGAAAATTAGGAATTTTATAAGCATAATTATTTGTATACTGTCTAAAAGTTATCCCAGAAAAATGTTTGACACTTTAACATATCTTATAAATAATTTTAAATTTTTTTAAAGTTGAATCCTGTGAATTTATACACTTTTCAATAAAACAACTAATATATTTTTTAGAAAATGATTTTTAAGATGTATCTTAAAATTATGCTGCGAAATAAATCACTTTCCAATTGTTGCATTAAAAATATAATTAAATATCATAAAACTCATAAAAAGCATTGTGGCTAACTAATTTGGGGCTTACAATTTTCACGCACAAAAAGGAAAACTGGAATAATTTATTTACAGAGAAAATAAGTTGAACAACCAATTTTTACTAATCTTTTAACTAGAACTTCCCTAGCTTTAGTGCATATTTGTTTATGCCAGCACACAGTGATAACATCTGTTTAATTACATCCAACATTGCATTGATGCCATTCTGCCCACAACTCGAACTCGAGGGCCGGGAAAGCGTCGGGAAAATGAAAATGGGGGCGTGGAGCATCAACAATGAAACGCTAGCAAGTGAATTAGTAAAGCGCTGTGCACAGAAACTCCTGCTCCTCCTGCGATTTTCCCACCCACCCACTTTTCCACCTCCTCCCATGTGAGCAAAGAACATTCATATTTAAACGCAAGCGAAAATGATTTGAATGATGCTCAGGAGAGTGACGAGGGGGGTGCTCTGTTTATAGAGTTTACACTGGGGAACATTAAATACAAAAAAAAAATATTTAAATGTAATACAAAATATGAAGAGTTTAGGAAAAGCCTTAATGTATTATATCCTGTTTTTATTACAAACAATTTTTTTTAATAACTAATTCTTTTAGTATCCTGAAGTTAAACTTCTTTACATTAAAAAAATTTTATCAACATATTTGAATATGACAACAAATTAAGAATTAAGATATATTAAAAAAATACCTATATAAAATTGGCATGAAAAATAAACCCGTGAAGCTGAAGCATTTCAATTTGTAGCACATATCCTTACTGTAGTGTAGGAGTATGCTTAGAACACATTTTGTGATAAGTGATAAGATAACTGTTAAAAAATAATTTGTTTTTAGGAAAAAATTGAGTCATTGAATAGTTTGATTATATCTTTTGAAACTATAATATTTTTCCCAGACATAACTTCCAAAAATTAGTTTAACAATTTTTTTCAGTGGCCTGAGGCTTCATTTTGGCTTGGCTTGTTTTTGCACGCCCCGCCAAGCAGATTTGACCTCGCGTTCGCCCGGAACCCCCATAACCCCCCATAACCCCCCATATAGCATATAGCATACAACCTCCAACATCCCCGACTGTGTGTCCATGTCCTATCTAAAAGTTAATCATGGCAACCTTTCATTCAATGCAGCCTCCTCCGACTGTTTGGCCTGCGTAAATAAAGTTGGCCGGCTGCCCTGCTCGGGGATTTTTAATCAGCCTGCCGCATGTGGCACGTAGCAGGTTGCAGGTTGCAGGCTGCAGGTTGCAGGTTTTCAGGTG